TACATGGTCCAACGGACCAAAAGACGGTGTCGCAGCACCCTGGCAGATTCTGGACGCTGACTTGTTTCGACGATTCCTGTTGATTCCAAATAGCTTTTGACGTGAAACCTCTTGGATTGGCTTCCTTATCAAATTAGCTTTCCATCCATATGTGGATCATCGAAAACGGAGTCCGGATGCGTCCTGGGCGACCAGTTTAAGGCAGACTGGTCCTGGAGGCCGAGGCAGACTCGAATTCGTGTTGGACTGGGCCTCCGGCTTGTGTTGGACGTCCTTGCTGGTCATCATCACCTCCTCCACGTCCTATTAGTCCCTCTTGACCCTCTCCAATGTTCCTAAGCAAGATAACATCATTAGGTAGTAGTCTATTCTCAAAAGTATGAAAAGGATCTCTTAAGAACGAGCTCACCTGTAAATTGAGTTGACGCATTCGAGCCCGGGTCATTGGACCTTGCATGACGGTTGGAGGATCAGCTGGTACATCCAAAGGAGTGATGTCCTCATCACATAGTCCAAGCCTCATGTTCGTCCTTCACCTCTCCCAGTCCATGGGCACAACACGTCCCTACTTGACCTTCACCTCACTGTCGACCACCGCCTCGGAGCTCCACACCTGTGCACCACAAGCCAAGAGACATGTTGCACAATGCAACTCATGCCATGGTTAGTTCACAAACTCAACCCAAGACGCGAATCACATTAACAATCACTCATCACAAATCTAAACCATAAGGGCACATATCAACCTTATGTTAGCAACAACATATGAGACAAGATGCTTATGAACAACTCAAGATGCGAAGTTAGTCAAGCAAGGAAGGCTTCAATCAAAAAGAGAAGATCACCACAAGTCATCTACGCTTCACCACATAGTGCCATCATACTCTAATGATGAAGGTAACATCTTAAGGTAAGTGGTCATTATTTAAAAAGCTTTCCTTTAATCTTGCTATTCACATAAATAAAGAAACAAACATGTTTGAGTTACAACTTTGCTTGATCCAACCTGATTAACTCAACATGTTTTGTTCCTTAAGTTTGTTCATAGCACCACTTTCTTGATCTCATAGTCTTAACTAAATGAGCTAAAATGTTGCATATCTTATCCTTGGAAGATAGTCATAATCATGTAAGGTTTGATACATTATAAACAATCCTTCCATAGGTTAAGCAACTCCACTCTTTTTGATAAATGTATTCTAATGCCACATTCATACTCATCCTTCTGATCTTATCATTCATGTTGTAAGAATGAATGCACATAACGTCAACTGTAACATGATTCCATGTGCCTAAGGATAGAGAAAAAATAAATAAAGTTTTGGTTCTGTTGGTGTTTTCCCACCAATAGAGCCCATGCACTTGATCTCTACCTTGTCTTTATGAGCAGAACACACTTTGAGCAATGTGTGGGGGAGTTGATCCCCCAAATTCTACAATTGAAAGTTTTGAACTGGCAATAATGATGCACAGATGATGCACCTGTCAGACCTAAATCAAACTCAAAACCAAGTCAGGTTTAGCAAAATAAGGTGGCACCACCATTTGAAGTGCCACAACTGGAGGCGCCAGCTCAAGAATCCTCATCTTCAAGAGCGAACCGAGGTATTTGATCAATGAACTTCCACAACTATCAAGGGCAAGATTATGAAGCAACCTCAAGTGGGCATCAGGGAGGACGCATGTCTTTCTCTGCCCGAGGGTATCATAACTCTTAGGAGACCTACCACCACTTTGACAATAGACTCGCAACCATTAAAGAGATGAATGCTGCCATATAAGGTACGTTACATAATCATTCATAATGGCAGGTAAGCATGGGACATGAGATGGACAGCCTATAGCAACAACAATAACAACAAAAATCAAAATTGGGATGCTCTATTCTGGCACCTCCACATCCAGCCATCTCGTTGAGCAACCACGACAACAACCAGCTTGGGGGAGAAGGCATCCCCGTGTATCTAGATAAATATTTCTTTTCCTTTTATTATTCTTAGTTTGCTTTAAAAAAAGATGAATAACTAAAAATAAAATAAAAAGTTATCTTTATAGAAATATAGATAGTTATAATGTGTCATCTAAACATAAAAACAAAATAAAGAGAGTGTGTCTAGTTTGCTTTAATTTGTTTTTAGGAGCTAAATAAAATAAAAAGGACTCTAAAGATAATCTATTAAAATGGAAATGATGAATAGTTGCTCTGTTGTAATTCTTTTCAAGTACCTAGTTTTCAGCCTTGAATTCTCCCGTGTTTTGGATAAGACTGTTTTCATATAGGGATTTACTCTGAACTTGAAACTCGTGGGTAGCATATGCTTGATCTAAATCTAGGTAATTGACGAATATGATATGAGAAGGTCTGAGCTACTGTTTATGTTGTTCCAAGTGTCACCAAAATTCTAGAGATTTACTTTTTGAAAAACACAAAAAAAATCTATGATGAGTTCCTATATGACAAGCTTGAATTCCTACCAGAACCTTACATGTTATTTAGGCTAGAAAAACTTCCACATATATGCTGCTTGTATTGCATTGAGTTTTGTCAAGCTTTGTTGACCCTTATGAGAAATCTGTCATGCTCTTAAAATCAAGATCATGTACACACCACCCAAATATGCACTACTCCCACACTAGGAGTAAGCGCAAAAACATGCTTTCCATTTAGATCTACCCAAAAATGTTTTACTCCTACACTGGGAGTAAACACTAAAAATATGTTTTATAGGTTTTCCACCAAATAAATGCTCCAAGTTCTTGTTGCTACCTTTCAAAAGTTTTGTTGCAGAAAGGAGGCATGGGCTATGCAAAAGTTATTGAGAAAAAAAGAAAAAGAAAAAAAGGATGAGAAAAAATGGACACAAAAATGTCCAAGATATTGAAAACAATGGGCATTTAGATACCCACCTGAAAAAAAGAAGAAAGATGAAAAAAGATAGCCCCTATTCTCTTGTAGAAATATTTCCAAGATTCAAATGAGAGTTATGTTTTCAAGGAGAAAAGTAGAATTAGGATAGCCACCATATACCCACACACATGCACATCTTGATTTGATTGTATGACTCATTTCTCTTTGGGCTCGTTGTTTGATTTTACAATACATGCTTTGCAAGTATGCTCTAGCTTTCTCCCTACCTATGAACTCCACATAAGCCTTAGTTGTAGGAAGAGAAAAAGGGCATAACATCATTACTACCTTTGGTGAGGATCCACAAATACCACATATATTGAGAGACTTGAGGGTGTCATACAATGGAATCTTTGAGTTTTATTTTGAAAACTTATAAAAACTCTAGAACAATGGTGGAACAAAGAACCTGAGACATAGTGCTTGACTTGATTGTTCTATCTTTCAATTACTCAAGACACAAGTGAAGGCTAAGAAGCCCCATGGTTGAAGGTAATATTAGTAAGTTTTAAAGTTAGATCAGTTTATTCTCATCCGGAGGAGAAGTTTTGATTGAACACATGTGTACTTTTGAGGCGTGAAAGCATTATAGCAACTCCTGATCCATTGTTCTAGTTTAACTTTGCTCAGGGACTAGCAAAGGTTAAGTGTGGGGGAGCTTGTTGATGGTCGTTAACATCAATCATAAACCGTCAACATATCCTACATATGTACTTAATTCCATCATCAAACATAGGTCTACGGGTTTAAACTAATAAATTCCACAAGTTTTGGTGAATCTGTGTTTGCAGAAGGATTTATTCAGAAAACCATCAAGGTGTACCCAATCCTTAGATTAAATCACGTTTATCCACGATGAAACCGACTTAGGAAGACTCTAGAACACTCCAGAAGACTCTCCACCGAAGATCAAGCCAAGAAGCTGACAGGATGGGCCGGCCAACCCCACCTATAGGCCGGATGGCCTATGGGTCCCACAGGTCAGCCCCTCCTTCAAATGTCGGTTCTCCACTGCCTTAAAGATAAAATCTACGCCATTGTTCAAGGTCGGTTTGATCCGAGGGTCTAGAATTGACATTGCCCCTTATATATCCCCCCTCTTGAGGCATCTCTCCCACCTTCAAAACTCTAGGGAAATCCATCAAAGATCAATATCAAGACACACCAGAGGGAGTAGATCTAGAGCTCTCCAATGTAGTAGATTAGGAGCTCGGGAGTGAGGGTCGAGTTGAGCTCATGCTCAAGTTTCGAATCTAGTCTTGGAGGCTTGGCAAAGCCTTGTATCTTCACTTCTACATCGTGTAAGACTTACTATCAATTTATCATATTCCAATCTACATGGCTATGCTTACTTTGAATATATATCTTGCTTTGTTAAGGTTATCATTACTTTTGTGTGCGGGTTCATAGAGCGCTTAGCCTGCTAGTTTACCGATTAGGCTACGTAGCCGAGTCTCATGTAAGCATGGTGCTTATACGATGCTCTGCATATGAGTGCACCCTGTTCCATGGCCATGTGGTAGCAGCGGGAGGTGACAATCCCATCTATCCTCTATAGTCCACCCTAAGTGAGCAGGTTCTTAAATTGTAGGACTACAGTCGCGTTAGTAGAGTTAGCGTTTGTAGTGCTCTACCGTCTAGCGGCGTCCCGAAGTGCACAAGAGTAGAGTTAGATTTAATTATAGTTGGGTATACTTTGACCATGTAATAACAACATCATAGGAATCTACCTCACCCGTTGTTCTCTTGAGTTAACTAGTTATTTATCTTTAATGATCAAACCCCTAAGTGTCATTATACATAAATTCCTATCATTACATTAACACCTACTCTAGCTATGCTGGTACATTGATTAGTAGTTAACCCTTTTGTTATCCAATAATGTGGTAAAAATATAAATAATGATACCTGGTATATTCTCGGTAAAATACTACAATGGTATTATGTGCGCTTGTGGAATCCTCCACAAGTAGCAAGATGACCAATGATCTGGGGGCAGCTACCAACTCCTATATGACGTCCCCAGGAGATTAGGAGGTGATGACGAAGGCCACGATGAGACCACATCACGTATAAAGACACCAACGCTTACCGGCGACCTGTGCCTGGGCTTCAGCGGCCACCACCTCGGCCGTGGCCACGGCCATCTCCTGGTCGGCTGCGGCGAGTGCCATCTCCATGGTGGAAAAGCATTGCCATCGCCACTCTTACTTCCACCTCTTGGTCCTCTCCTCGGCCGACTCCACTATTGGGCGCTTCCTGTTCACCATGGACCAATCTTGGGGGTGGAGCGGAGGGATTGGAGCTATAAATCGTGGTTATGTACCCTTGTTCGTTCTGCTTCCGCTTTTATAGAAGGATTTATGAAGAAGCAGTTATCTAGGATTACAATGATCCCTCATCTACACCGCTCTTATCAATACGCATTCATATGGTGTATGTCGGTGAATCTAAACCGCATCGTATGTAATGCCGAATCAGTGTGTGAGTAATGAATGTCCCAACTTCCAACACTGTCTCACCACTCTCCCTAGGAACTGACGTCTTCCATAGATCATGTGAAACTTAACTGCTCCTCTCCGCTTCTCCATCTTCAAGGGTGGCCTATTTAAGCCAGGGCTAGAAGCGCTTCTTGGCAATCCACACAATCCTTCCATCTTAGATACAGAAGATAGATACAGACAAAGCTCTTGAGCCAGCCATCTATATTTTCTTCATCGCCATGGCACTCGTTCTTCAACTTCTCTGGCGGCAGCACCGGTGATGGGATAAGGCCTTCAAGATTTACTTTCTTCCGCATTTAGGGTGTAGTAATGGCTGCTTGTCCTTGGTGCTAGTGGAAGTTTTGCGAAGATATAGGGGGATCACCGCCTTTCGTTTGTCTAGGGGTGCTGATTACACTTTGTAATCATCCATCTCATGGTATTCCCATGGTGGGCTTCATCAGGCTACCGCAGTGCCGAGGTGTTGCCATGGAAGATAGCTTCCTCGGTGGCCCTTAGCGACTATGTGTTGCCTCAGGGTGTTTAGAGATTAGCACACCGAGGTATACTTGATGGAGCTACCAGTGCCGTGTGTATCAAAATTCGATGGCTTGGGGCACCAGGGTGATCCTCTCTTCCATTTCCGTGGAGGAGTTAGACATGCGAGCAGGTCTCCTCATGCTTTCTGTTGCAGCCCTTGCCTACGAGGGATGCAAGTTGAAGCTTTGTGAGGTGGGTGTTGCGTCGGCTCTCTTCATCGGAGCACTTATGACTACAACTTTGTCGTTTCAAACTCCGCTCCATGCCCCTTCTTAGGTGATGTTAGTGGAACTTTTGCGATGTTGTAGTCGAGTATAGGTCATTTTTTGTACATGATAGGTCTTTGTTATTGTACACCCAGTTGTCTTTGACATCTTTGTTATTGTACACCTTTCGAATGTAACCTACTAGACTTATGAATAAAGATTTATTTTGTTAATGAAATGTTGCCTCATGTGGTTGTGGTACTTTTAACTGTATATCATTTCATTTTTTAACATTTGCCTTCCCCACTCGTGTCGTATACATTGTACCATTGTATAAGTTGCTATCTCCAGTCTTGACTCTAGGATGTACCTGTACTCAATAGGTCTATGCTATTGTACACCCAGTAGTCTTCTATAGGTCTTTGTTATTGTACAACTATGGAATGTAACTGAAGTTATCAATGAATTTGCTGCGATGATTATTACTATGTTGTTTATATATAGTTTTTGCCTTATAGAACAATTAATAACTAAATGGCTGTGACATGAGCAGTTTACGTAAATCATCATATCATACGGTGTACTTCTACGCTATTAGATCAAATGGCACTAGTTCTCGTAGTAACTAATGATGATTTGATTTGGACAATAGGTGTATCATACGATGTACATGTGCGAGGGTATTCAGGTTATACCCCATGCACTCTAACTTCCCATGTACATGTCCTTTGGTCTGCCAGATATTACACATCATTAAGTACTATTATTGATGAGGATGAAATGTGGCAGGGAATCAAAAGTGCCTGGGAATCAAATGTGATAGGGAATCAAATGTGGCATCATGTTCACCGCTTCGTTGCCCATGACTCAGGTGGGGTGGCCACGGATGTCACAAACCTTGACTGTTGCCATCCCTACACATGTCTTGAGGTGTGGCTATTTAAGCCAAGGTTAGGGGAGCATCTCTAGTAAACTCCAATCCTTCTTGCCCCCTTCGCATCAGAAAAATGAGAGAAAACACCTTGAGTTGCTAATGCCAACTTCTCGTGAGGTTAAGAGGACGACCACGAGCGTTTCTCATGAAGCTGTTGTGAGCTATGCCAAACAAGCCCTGTGAGCTATGCCAAACAAGTCTCCCATCGCCACATGGCCTCGCTCCTAGTCGGCTTCTTATCCTCATCAGAAGTTTGCATCAACATGAGACGCATTATGCTAATGCCAACTTCTGGTGAGGATAAGAGGACATCCGTGAGCGTTTCTCATGAAGCTATTGTGAGCTATGCTAAACAAGTCTCCCATCACCATGGCCTCCCTCGTCTTGCATCGACTCTAACACCGCTGGGAGAAGGACTTCAAGATCACAGCTTCTTCTACAACACCTATGCACGGCTATATGTCCGCTCGTCGTAGGTATTAGTGGAAGTTTCGCGAAGATAGGGAGGCAAGCATGCTGCCATGGTGCTCTATGACGGCAAAGCAACCACCATGCCTGAGTGCCTCCATGCCTGTAAGCTCCTCCTCCAACCCGTGGTGGACCTCAGCGAGTGTGGAAGTCCATGGAGTCCTAAAACATCATAAACCCATGCCCCACGCGCCCCCCATGTATCGATTCGACGACTTGGGCCTTGTTTGGATGTAGTCGGATTTGCATCAACCCATATGTGTTGGGGTGGATTGGAGTAGAACTTGAACTAAATTCCACCATAATACACCCGAACACATGTGGATTGAGGTGAATCTGACAACATCCCAACAAGGCCTAGCTTGATCATCCATCGGCACTGCGTGATCCTCTCTCCTGTGGAGTAATCAGCTGAGGGAATAGGTGTCCTTTGTAGCTGGGTATGGGTAAACCCCATACTTGAAAGGTCTTTGTTATTGTACATCTGTAAGTATTTGATAGGTCTTTGTTATTGTACACCCATCGAAATTAATGGAGTTTGTCAATAAAAACTTCATTTACCAACTTTATTGTTGTATGTTCGACTCCGTTAGATTAGATGACACTGGTTTCTGAAGTAACTAATGGTGATCAGTTTATGTAAATAGCCGTATCAAATGGTGGACATGTGTGCTATTAGATCAAACAGCACTGGTTCTCTTATTAGTAAGTAACAGTAACATGTGCAAGGGAATCTGAACCACATCGTGTCCTCCGCTATGTTACCCTATAGTAGCGATATATTAACCGCCGTGATCTCGTACGCAACTCCGCTTGTATTCCTTCCTTCCCAGAGCTATCCCCACTCCCACAGCACATCTAAAATCGGCAGGAATGTGCGGTTGCCTTCTCCAAACCTACTTCTCTCTTAGCCACCACCATGGTGAAGGGCGAGCCTACTGCTAAGCATGCATGGGAGGGGGATGACGCCGTGCCCATGGTGAAGGAGGATGATGCCGTGCCCATGGTGAATCAAGATGAAGCTCCGGTGGATTCCTTCAGAGATAGAGACAATTGGTCCGTTGGCATCATGAGGAAGGCATTCTTAAAGATCAAGCATGTGCTACCGTCTGTAGACCACTGATCTAGGCACCCCCAACCCGCCTTGGGAGGAAAAGGTGATCAGTTAATCTTTATTTTTCACCAACTCGCCGATGTCATGAAAGAACTGCCAGCCTACCTAAACAAGAATCGTGCGGACAACGCAGAGTACATCCTCGCCTGCTACTGGAGCCAAATAGATGGCTTTGACACTAGAGTCGTGACGTAGGGAATCAGCACCACACACAACACCGAGAATCACTGGCACAACCTAGTTCATGCCGATGCTGAGCAGGTGGCCAACTGCATTGCTGCTGATGAAGACGATGACATTGATACCAACGATGAGGACGAGGATGGTAATTCCGACGATGAGGAGTAGAGGTGATTTGTTATTTGTTATTTGTTCAATGACTTGTGTCAATGGTGAAATAAAGTCAGACTGCTTAATTGTCGTGCTACTTTGCGGCGCTAGATTGTCGTACTACTTTGTGGCACTATGTTTTCAATTATTTGCATGTATTGTTGTACTACTTTGTGGCACTGGTTTCCTCCTTAACTTTGTGTGGTTTAGGTACATGGGCGTATAATATGGTACATGTACGCTATTAGGTCAAACGCCACAGGTTCTCATAGTAAACAATGGTGATTTGATTTGAAAAATCGTTGTATCTTATGTTGTACACGTGTGAGGGTATTTGAATCTTCCTGATGGACTTCGATTTCCTATGTACGCATGCGCGTGTCGTTTGGTCCACCAGGTATTGCGCGTCATTAAGTCCTATTTAAGATGAGGATGAAATGTGGTAGGGAATCAAATGTGCTAGAGAATCTAAACCGCATCGTGTTTTGTGCCGAGTCGCTTGTGACTCGCTTTGGTGGCCGCGGAAGTCATACACCTTGACTATTGCCTTCCCCGCTAACGTCTTGAGTTGGGGGTGGGCTATTGAAGCAAAGTTAAGGGGAGCCCCTCTAGCAAACTCCAATCCTTGTGCCTCCTAGAAAAACCCAAGAAAACCTAGAGTTGCACGTAGTCTCACGTCGCCATGGCCTCCCTCGTCCTATAGCAACTCTAGTGCTGCTAGGAGAAGGCCTTCCAGATCAGCTTCCACCACCACCTATGCGCGGCTATATGTTCGTTCATCCTGGGTGTTAGTGGAAGTTTCACAAAGATTGAGAGGAATGCAGCCAAGGAACGGCCCTCCGCCGGGACACCAGTTGTAGCGCTACAGCCAGAGCACCGGCGGTGGACCTCAGCGACTGGGGTATTTTGCAATGGTGTTCCTCTCTTCCCCATGGTTTCTTGTGTGGGTTGGTCTCCTCATGGGGCTCCTCCTCCTCTCGCGGCTCCTTCTCCTCCTAGGGCTCCTTCTCTGCACTAGATTTCATCGGGTACGTGGTAGAGAGCGCTTGAAGGGGTTATGGTATCCGCTTGGTACAAGTGATCAATTTCTCATGCACAAGCGCAA